ATATATATATAATATATATATATATATATATATATATGTATTTTGTTTGTATATATATATACAGGGTGTATTATTATATGGTCCTCCTGGTACAGGTAAGACATTATTAGCAAGAGCAGTTGCTCATCATACAAGTTGTACATTTATACGTGTAAGTGGTGGTGAATTAGTACAGAAATATATAGGAGAAGGTAGTCGTATGGTTCGTGAATTATTTATAATGGCTAGAGAACATTCACCATCTATTATATTCATGGATGAGATTGATTCTATTGGATCACAAAGAGTACATAATACAGGAGGAGGAGGAGGAGGAGGAGGAGGAGGAGGAGGAGGTAATGGTAATAATGATTCAGAGGTACAAAGAACTATGATGGAATTACTTAATCAATTAGATGGATTCGAATCCAATAAAAATATCAAGGTATAGGTATAGGGATAGGGATACGGATAGGGATACGGATAGGGATACGGATAGGGATAGGGATAGGGATAGAGATAGGGAGGGATAAGGGATTCAGTGTCTCCTTTTGTCTGTTTATGTATTTATGGGTTTGGTTCTTTATGTATCTCTTTATTTGTCTCCTTGTTTGTTTATTTATGTATTTATGTCTTATCTGTCTCCTTATGTGTCTATTTATCATTATCTGTCTCTTTATCATTATTGTCTCTCTTTGTATGTCTCTGTCTTTCTCTCTTTATGTGTGTGTCTTTGTCTGTCTCTTTATGTGTGTGTCTTTGTCTGTCTCTTTATGTGTCTCTTTTGCTGTCTCATTATGTCTCTGTCTCTGTCTCTCTATTTGTCTCTGTCTCTTTATCTGTATCTGTGTCTATATCTGTCTCTTTATCTGTCTCTTTCTGTGTCTCATTATCTGTCTCTGTCTCCTTATGTGTCTCCTTATGTGTCTCCTTATGTGTCTCCTTATGTGTCTCCTTATGTGTCTCCTTATATGTCTCCTTATGTGTCTCTCTACCTGTCTCCTTATATGTCTCCTTATATGTCTCCTTATATGTCTCCTTATGTGTCTCCTTATATGTCTCCTTATATGTCCCCTTATGTGTCTCCTTATGTGTCTCCTTATGTGTCTCCTTATGTGTCTCCTTATGTGTCTCCTTATGTGTCTCCTTTGTATGTATATCTGTATGTGTGTGTATATATCTGTCTGTGTGTCTATTTACCTTTATGTGTCTCCTTATGTGTCTCCTTATCTTGTGTTTCTTTATTTGTCTCTTTATTTGTCTCTTTATCTATCCCTTTATGTGTGTCATTTCCTGTCTCTATTTGTCTCCGTCTCCATTTGTCTCCGTCTCTGTGTCTATTTGTCTCTGTCTCTGTCTCTGTCTCTATTTGTCTCTGTCTCTGTCTCTGTCTCTATTTATCTCTTTCTCTGTCTCTGTCTCTATCTCTGTCTCTGTCTCTGTCTCTGTGTCTATTTGTCTCTGTCTCTGTATCTATTTGTCTCTGTCTCTGTCTCTGTCTCTATATATCTCTGTCTCTGTCTCTGTGTCTATTTGTCTCTGTCTTTATTTGTCTGTGTCTCTGTATCTATTTATCTCTGTCTCTGTCTCTGTCTGTGTCTGTATTTGTCTGTGTCTCTGTATCTATTTATCTCTGTCTCTGTCTCTGTCTGTGTCTGTATTTGTCTGTGCCTCTATCTGTGTCTGTATTAGTCTGTGTGTGTGTGTGTGTCTGTATATATATATATATATATATA